TGTGGCGGGTGCCTGTGGTCCCAGCTACTTGGGAGGCGGAGGCAGGAGAATCGCTTGAGCACAGGAGTTGGAGGTTGCTGTGAGCTGTGATGCCACAGCACTCTACCCAGGGGGACAGCTTGAGGCTCTGTCTCAAAAAAAATAAAATCTTATGTTTAGCCAGGTATGGTGGCTTATTCCTGTAATCCTAGCACTTAAGGAGGCTGAGGCTGATGGATTGCTTGAGCTCAGGAGTTCCATACCAGCCTGAGCAAGAGCAAGAGTAAGACCCCATTTCTACCAAAATAGAAAAACTAGCCAGGCATTGTGGCAGGAGCCTGTTGTCCTAGCTACTTGGGAGGCAAGATGATCACTCCAGCCTGAGAGTGTAAGGTTGCTGTGAGCTATGCTGCCACAGCACTCAAAGTGACAGAGTAAGACTGCTCCAAATGAAAATACAAAAACAAAACAAAAAAACCTCCTAAGCTTGGCTAGCTTCTTACCTGAGAAACTTCCATTTAAAGATTGGCAGAGTGCAGTGGCTCACACCTGTAATGCTAGTACCTAGCCAAAGGCAGTGGGTAGCCTGAGCTTAAGAGTTTGAGACTAGCCTGAGCAAAAGTGAGACCCTGTCTCTACTACAAATAGAAAAACTACCTGAGTGGCATTGTGGTAGGCAACTGTAGTCCTACCTACTCAGGAGACTGAGGCAAGAGGATTGCTTCAGCCCAAGAGTTTGAGGTTGCTGTAAGCTGTGATGCCATAGCACTGCTTTACCCAGGGTGACAGAGTAAGACTTTGTTTCAAAAAACAAACAAAAAAAACCAGATCTTATGTTTGAAGGGCTTGGTCCCCTTCCCCTTTATTTTTAGGGAAATTATTTTTGCTGTGGTAAAATATCTAAAACATAAAAATTATCATTTTAAACATTTTTAAATATATAACTCATTAGCATTAGTTATATTCACAGTGTTTATAAACTCTACTCCTATTCCTAAAACATTTTCATTACCCAAAACAGAAACTTAGGGCAGGGTGGGTGGCTCACGCCTATAATCCTAGCACTCTGGGAAGATGGGACTGGTGGATTGCCTGAGCTCACCAGTTCAGGACCAGCCTGAGCCAAAGCAAGACCTCTAGACCTCTAGACCTCATCTCTTAAAAAAACAAACAACAATGGGGAGGCACCTGTGGCTCAAGGAGTAGGGCATTGGCCCCATATACCAGAGGTGGCAGGTTCAAACCCAGCCCTGGCCAAAAAACTGCAAAAAAAAAAAACAAAAACAAAAAAACAAAAAATAGCCAGGTGGGCACCTGTAATCCCAGCTACTCAGGAGGCTAAAGCAAGACAATTACTTGAGCCCAAGAGTTTGAGATTGTTGTGAGCTGTGATACCATGGCACTCTACCAAGGGCAACAAAGTGAGCCTCTGTTTCAAAACAAAACAAAACAGAAACTTTGCACCCGTTAAGCAATAACTATCCATTCTCCCTCCTCCGGCCCCCCTGCCCCTGGTAGCATCCAGCCTTCTTTGGTCTTTGTGACCTCACCTAGTCCACATATTTCATAAAAATGGAATTACAACATGTTTCCTTTTAGGATTTAGCTTTCATTAGCATAGTGTTGTAAAGGTTAGTCCATCCATATTGTAGCATATATTATAATTTCATCCCCTTTTATGTCTAAATTTTCTGTTATGTGGATATACTTTCTATTTAATCCATGCAGCTGTTAATGTATATTTGAGTTATTTCCATCTCCAGCTATTGTGAATAGTACTGCAATGAACATTGGCATACAACTATCTATGTGAGTCCCTGTCTTCTTTTCTTTTTTTTTCAGTTTTGGCCGGGGCCAGGTTTGAACCCACCACCTCCGGCATATGGGGCCAGCGCCCTACTCCTTTGAGCCACAGGTGCTGCCCAATGAGTCCCTATTTTCAATTCTTGTGGGCCCTAGGACTGGGATTGGGTTGGTCCCTTTCAACCACATATTTGTACATGTACTAGTTAGTGGCCACTCATTAATCATACTGTGGAACATATAGCTGGTATTTTAACAGCCAAAAAAGACCTCACAAAATGCATAAGCTAGGTTTTATGCACTTATGAATTAGCTCCTTCGTCACTGTCCTGACCACATTTACACATAGATGTTTACACACCCATAAACCCTAGCCTTTAGAGGGAGGGTGACTCATTTCTATTGCTATTGCTCCTTTATATTTTTATTTTTCCAGATTCTACTAAGGCAAGCTGCTGACTTTATAAATGAGCTGGTTGAGTGGTAAGAGGGCCTGAAGTTGTAGGTCATAGTTTGAATGAGAAGGAAGTGTGAAAGCACCCAAGAGCATTAGACTACAAGTCAGGAGATGAGCTTAGTGATCTGGTTTCCAAAGCCTGAACAACTTAGAAATATATAAATAGAAGGAGATGACTGAATCAAAAATAGTCATACTGACAGCAGAAAAAAGAGAGAACTTTGCTCTTATGACCACCCATGTCTATCTTCTACAGGTTGAAACACTGACACAGTAATTGAGGAAACAAGGGAGAAAACTCAGAAGGAAAAGAAAAAATTGGTAAGTAATCCATATAAAGTAATATTCCACTTTTTTTTTTGACAGTCTTACTGTTGTCCAGCCAGAGAAAGAGCAAGATCCTGTCTCTAAAACAAAAAAAGCTGGGCATTGTGCAGAGCGTCTGTAGTCCCAGCTACTTGGGAGGCTAAGGCAAGAGAATCACTTCAGCCTAAGAATTTGAGGTTGCTGTGAGCTGTGACGCTATAGCACTCTACCAAGGGTGATGGAGTGAGACTCTGTCTCAAAAGAAAAAAAAAAAGAGTTAATATGAATGGAATGTTATGTAGTTCCTAAAACAAAAAGTGTATGAATTGTCTTAATATATACACACAGTATACCAGGAAAAAACTGACCACAAAATAGTATGTAAATATTGGTTACAGTTTATAGTAGCCAAGCTCTAAGATGGCCCCCAATGATCCTCACCTCCTACTATTCAGGCTTTTGTGTAATCCCCTCACACATTTCAGGGTTGGTCTGTGTGACCCCTAGAGAGATAAATTCTAACCATCTCTTGCTGCTTAACCAAGCACACATTTTATTTGAACTATCTGTGTCTAAGGCAGGAATTTCCCATTAGATTTATTTATTTACTTACTTATTTGAGACAGAGTCTCACTATGCCGCCCTCAGTAGAGTGCCATGGTGTGACAGTTCACAGCACCCTCAAACTCGTGGGCTTAAGCAATTCTCTTACCTCAGCCTCCCAAATAGCTGGGACTACAGGCACCCGCCACAACACCTGGCTATTTTTTTCTTTCAGTTGTCATTGTTGTTTAGCAGGCCTGAGCCAGGTTTGAACCCGCCTTCCTCAGTATATGTGGCCGGCACCCTAACTACTAAGCTACGGGCGCAAAGCCTAGATTTTTTTTTTTAAACAGTCTCACTCTGTCACCCTGGATAGAGCACCATGGTGTCATCATATCTCATAGCAACCTTAACCTCTTGGGCTTAAGTGATCCTGTTGCTCAGACTCCTGAGTAGCTGGGAGTACAGGTGCCCACCACAGTGTCTGGCTAATTTTTCTATTTATAGTACAGATGGGGGTCTTACTCTTGCTCTAGCTGGTCTTGAACTCCTGAGCTCAAGCAATCCACCTGCCTTTGCCTCCCAGAGTGCTAAGATTACAGATGTTAGCCACCTTGCCCAGCCTAGTTTTTTAATGTTTCAAAATGATTCATCTTTGCATGCTATACTTGTAAGTAGCAGTAAACAACTGATAATTTCTGGAATGGCCAAATGAATGAATTAATATGAGGTCAGACAATTAAATTCTCGAGTTCATCCTAGAAAAAGTGCTGCTATATACTTCATTGCATGGTTACCTTTGAGGTACTCCCCTTGGGAAGCTACGCACCTGTGCCAGTCCTTCAAAGCAATTTTGGAATGGCCATCAGAACTGTTGTTTGAGGTCTGACAATTAAGTTCACTAACTCATCCTAGAAAAAGTGCTGTGTAACTCATTGCTGAATATCACTATGGTCACCAGATGGCCAAGGGAAGTACCTCAAATGTGGCTGTAGTGATATTCAGCATTGAGTTATGTACCACTTTCTCGGATGAATTCACAAACTTAATTGTCAGACCTTGTATGTGAATAAATAGGCCTAAATGGGTGGCACCTATGGCTCAAGGAATAGGGCACCAGCCCCATATACCGGAGGTGGTGGGTTCAAACACAGCCCCGGCCAAAAACTGCAAAAAAAAGAAAATAACTCGGCTTAAATGGAATAACACCCCTATCCTGGGCTGGTTTGGAGGGGATCAGGGAGTTGGACATACAATATCTAAGTCATAGTAAGATACTGGGAAGTTGAGATTCCCTGTCCCAGTGCTTCTGCCTGCATGTTCCATTCACCAGTTGTATGAAGTCCATTTGGGATGCAATTACTAGTGTGTTCCAGGCCTAATATGTAGTACTTGGTTTTGAGAATGCAAAAGATACTATGCACCTTCACCATAGGCACCCTTCAAATAGCAAGACATTCCAGGGCTTTGGCCCTTTGTATAAATTTATAAATCTCAAGTTATCCCCAAATAAGATGTTGCTCACTGTATTTAAATCTGTCCCAGACTTAACTTCATTAGACTCACCTTGGTTTTGTTGAATTTGGCTAAGTTATACACTGGGTGATTTGGTTATATCCGTTCTTAATTCAGCTTACAGTTTAAAAATTTCATTCTAGTTAACATTTTAAACTTGCTTTATGTTTAATTTTTATTTTTTTATTTAGTTTTTTTGTTTTTTGCATTTTTTGGTCGGGGCTGGGTTTAAACAAACCCACCACCTTCAGTATATGGGGCCAGCGCCCTACTCCTTGAGCCACAGGCACCGCCCTATGTTTAATTTTTAACTTTGTTAAAGCCTGTGGAACTTTCTTGTTGAGTCCAGCTGAATTGGCAGAAGAAGCTTTTACATTTTGTGGTTTTCAGAACTTTTGTTGATCTTTCTACTCCCATTCCATTATTTTCCACTGTTGGGAAATAATATGTCATTTTATCCAAGTCAATCCATATTGATATTTGCTTAGGGAGGGAGTAGAAAGTCATAATTAGCAATCGTATGTCACTATGGAACCACACGAAGAAAACAAGTCCACTCCTTTTGCAGTCTGATTCAGTGCCTTCAGATCTATCCTTCCTCACACCTGCCCTCTTTATTCTGGTACACCTCTATATCCCAGGCACACTATTCTCTTAATAAATGAAGTTCTCAGAATTCTGCTTGTGTCACTTCCTCTACCTCTTTTTTTTTTGCAGTTTTTGGCTGGGGCTGAGTTTGAACCCTCCACCTCTGGCATATGGGGCTGGTGCCCTACTCCTTTGAGCCACAGGCACCGCCCATGTCCCCTACCTCTTATTCAGGTTGCACCTTATACCTCTTATCCCTTAAGAAGCCTCCCACCTCCACCTTCCTCTTCCAAGCCGAAGTACTTGTCCCTGGTATCCATTGCTATAGTACTTTCTGCACATTTCTGTCAGAAGACTTATCACGATATTGTAGCTATGTGGTTTACTTGTCTTTATTTTCCAGTAAGCTGAAATCTCCCCATAGCTAGGACTATATCTGATTCCTCTCTGTATATCTAGAACCTTAGCACAGTGTCTAGAAATATTATATGTTCAATAAGTGCTTATTAATTGTACGATTCAATGCCCAGCTTTATAAATTCCAACTCAGGTAAGGAAGCTATTGAGAAACACTATTAACTTTTCTTTCTTTTTCCTTTTTTTTTTTTTTTTTGAGACAGTGGCACCCTTGATAGAGTGCTAGGATATCACAGCTCACAGCAACCTCAGACTCTTGGGCTTAAGCAATTCTCTTGCCTCAGCCTCCCAGGTAACTGGGACTACAGGCACCCACCACAACGCCTGGCTAATTTTTTGTTATTATCGTTGTTTAGCAGGCCTGGGCGGGGTTCAAACCCACCAGCCCTGGTGCATGTGGCCGGTGCCTTAACCACTGAGCTATGGGCACCAAGCCTATTAACTTTTCTATTTTGCTAACATAAAGACACAGAATTCAGTTCCTGAGCAACTTCAACCCTATAAGCAATAATCCTTCTAGGTGTCACTTAACTATAATAAAAGTAGATAAACCAGATAATCATGTACCCAGAGAAAAGGTGACTAAGGGAGGAGCAAAGGATAAAGAACGGAATGAGTTAGCAAAATGCCACAGTTAATTGCAAACTGGCACAAAGGTAAATGTGGCTTGTGAAGCTAGTTGGTTCAGAAGAGTTGAAATAGGATCAAAGAGCAAAGCACACCTCGCAGTGAAAGCACGGATTCAGCAGGAATAGGCAGACACAAGCAGGTGAGCACCCAGATGAGGCTCGAGTCCTCTGGAATTGGGGTCTTTCAGGCTCTGTGTGACAGGGAAGAAGAGAAGGCAGAGTATGATGCTCTGGAAAGGCTAAGTGGGGAGGATTAGTGTTTGCTTCAGGTATAAAGAGACACAGAAAAGACCTTAGGAGGAGATGGGCATGTTAACAAACAGTAGGTGTTATAAAAGTCTCAAAGAAAAGAATTAAAGAGGGGGCTTTGTTGGGGTGAGTAAGTGATAGTAAGCAATAGTTACTAAGAAGGCCAGTCTTGAAAAGGGTGGATTTAATCCCAGCTACTTGGGAGGCTGAGGCAAGAGAATCGCCTAAGCCCAGGATTTGGAGGTTGCTGTGAACTGTGACACCACGGCACTCTATGGAGGGTGACTCTAAAAAAGTCTCACTAAAAGTAGAAAGGGGGGATGGATTTAAATACTCCCAGTAAAGTTGACTATTTGCATTATTTTGAGTAGCATATAAAATGGCACATGTGGCACATTTGGGCAAATGTCACCTTTATATAATTGACAAGTTTGGAGAAACAGTCCTTCCGTAAAGCTTAGAATCATGATTTTTTTCAATGGGTAGTTAATTAATCTCATTTTGGAAAGAAATCATCTTTTTAATTTTTTTTTCATTTTGAGATAGAGCCTCACTTTGTCACGCTGGGTAGAGTACCAGGCCATTATAGCTCACAGCAACCTTAAATTCTTGGGCTGAAGCAATCCTCTTGCCTCAGCCTCTCAAGTATCTGGGAGTATAGGCGCCTGCCACAACACTCAACTATTTTTAGAGACTGGGTCTCACTTTTGCTTAGACTGGTCTCAACCTCCTGAGCTCAGGCAGTCCACCCACCTCGGCCTCCTAGAGTGCTAGGAATACAATTGTGAGCCACCGTGCCGGCCTAAGACATCAATTATTCTTGTTAAATGGGTAAGACCTAGTGCCTGAGTATTTGCATCACTGTTTATTCTTTTGGAGTATTTATTCAATATCCATTATGTGCTAGCACTGTTCCAGCGTCGTTACAGCACCAGGAACATATTAAAAATAAAACAGATCTCGCTCGGCACCTGTGGCTCAAGCAGCTAAGGCACCAGCCACATATACCTGAGCTGGCGGGTTCGAATCCAGCCCGGGCCCGCCAAACACCAGTGATGGCTGCAACCAAAAAATAGCCAGGTGTTGTGGCAGGCGCCTGTAGTCCCAGCTATTTGGGAGGTGGAGGCAGGAGATTCACTTGAGCCCAGGAGTTGGAGATTACTGTGAGCCGTGATGCCACAGCACTCTACCCAGGGCGACAGCTTGAGGCTCTGTCTCAAAAAAAAAAAAAACAGATCAAAATTTTTGCATAGGCTGAGTATGACAGCTCACATCTGTAAACCTAGCACTCTAGGGGGGCCGAGGTAGGTAGATTCCTTGAGCTCAAGAGTTTGAGACCAGCCTGAGCAAAAGCGAGACCCTGTCTCTACTAAAAATAGAAAAAACTGAGGCAAGAGGATCACTTGAGCCTGAGTTGGAGGTTGTTGTGAGCTATGACACCATGGCACTCTAGCGAGGGTGACAGCTTGACACTTTGTCTCAAAAAAAAAAAAAGAAAGAAAAAATTTCTGCCTGCATATACATGTAACTCACATGGGGGTGGAGTGGGAAGAGATGAGGAATATGAAAATAAAGTAGTAAGTCATACGGTGTATTAGAAGGTAGAAAGAGCTATGGAGAAAAACGGGGAAGGAAGGTAGAAAAATGAACGTATGGCTAGCTGGGTTGTAATTTTAAATAGGGTGGACAAGGAAAGTTTCACTGAGAAGGTAACATTTGAGTAGATTTTTTTTTATTATTTATTTTTTGAGACAGAGCCTCAAGCTTTCCCCCTGGGTAGAGTGCTATGGCATCACAGCTCACAGCAACCTCCAACTCCTAGGCTCAAGCGAGTCTCCTGCCTCAGCCTCCTGAGTAGCTGGGACCACAGGTGCCTGCCACAACGCCTGTCCATTTTTTGGTTGCAGCTATCATTGTTGTTTGGTGAGCCCGGGCTGGATTCGAACCCACCACCTTAGGTGTATGTGGCTGGCGCCTTAGCCACTTGAGCCACAGGCGCCGAGCCACATTTGAGTAGATTTTAACAAAGTGAACAAGCAAGCAGTGCAGACTGGGATCATATAAAATAGGATGCTTTTCTATAAACTCTAAGTTGTAAGCCTTTCTAATACTATATAAAAAATAATGATCTCTTAAAAGTGAGGTTGGAAGCAGTGTTAGAAGGCAGTTGCTGAGAGGAAAGGGGCATTTTACATGTTCACACTTTGCTTTTAAAATCCGTCTGGTTTTCACTGAGCACCTGGTATGACTCTGCAGTTTTTACTCCATGAAAACAGATACCTAGGATGCATTTTTTTCCCTTGAGATCTCTTTTGGAAGAAAAACAAATCTTTTTTTAATGGAAATAGAAATTGGAGAGGTTTTTCAGAAATCACAATAATGATCAAAATATTAGTGACCCCTGCAGTCATAGAGATGAAGGAAACCTGGTGCCTAGAACTCCTTTAATTCATTGCCTGAGGGAAAAGAAGGACTACGAGTTGGACAAAACAAGGACCCATCAACACTCAGAGAATCTGAAAAGTTGTTTCTGTCTTCATTTGCTTAGATTGATCTATGGGACCAGCCTGTTTGCTGTAAGACTGAGCCAAAGGGAATGACTTAAGATGTGAGTATAAATCTGGCCAGGCAGCTGCCCTGTTTCAATTGTTGATTTCCTGACATGAAGTTTTATTTGTTTGGGAGCAATTTTGTTTGTTCCTTTTCTAGCCAGTAGCTCTCATTTTTAACTGCAAGATAGAAACTCAGCCTTGAATAGCGTTCAAATGGGTGAATCTAATTCCATTTTTATAGTACTTCAGACAAACTCTTGTTATTTTAAATATTTTAAAATTCCAAGTGCAATGAACTTTAATTTGCTTTATTTTATGTAATGTGTCACCTGCAGGGAGGGAGGCATTTTGATACATGCCCTACATACTCACCAAATTTAAGGTGACTGAGAATCCTTAATCTATACTCCAAATATGCGAAGTATTCCAGATGAAGAGCCTGGAAAATGGGAAGTTTGGAATCAGACCTTGTTGCTTAGCCTATAACTGTAACTTGCACAGAGATCAGAGATGAAAGCAAAGTATATGTGGGGCAACTAAGAAAGTCTTAACAGGCTGGTAGCTCATGCCTGTAATCCCAGCACTCTGGGAAGCTGAGGTGAGTGGATTGCCTAGGCTCAAATATTGGAGACCAGCCTGAGCCAGAGCAAGACCTCATCTCTAAAAATAGCTGGGCGTTGTGGCTGGTGTCTGTAGTCCCAGCTACTTGGGAGGCTGAGGCAAGAGGATTGCTTGAGCCCAAGAGTTTGAGCTTGCTGTGAGCTATGACGCCATGGTTTAGTTCTTGCAGATGAGAGCATAAGACATAATCTGAGCTTAATTTTTTTTTTTGTTTGCTTGTCATTTAGTGTTCCTCTAGGAAAAGAGTGTCAAAAAGCCATATAGAAGGGATTCCATTATTCCATTAAATACTACCAACTGTTTTTGTTTGTTTGTTTGTTTGTTTAGAGACAGAGTCTCACTTTGTTGCCCTTGGTGGAGTACTGTGGCATCACAGCTCACAGCAACCTCCAGCTTTTGGGCTTAGGTGATTTTCTTGCCTCAGCCTCCCATGTAGCTGGG